TGTTACTACTAGCGTGGCACCTGTTACTACTAGCGTGGCACTTGTTACTACTAGCGTGGCACTTGTTACTACTAGCGTGGCACCTGTTACTACTAGCGTGGCACCTGTTACTACTAGCGTGGCACTTGTTACTACTAGCGTGGCACTTGTTACTACTAGCGTGGCACCTGTTACTACTCGAAAGGAACAAGTTGTGGGCCATGTTTTCCCCTTAATTCTTGAGCCTTCCTCTTTTTCAGCGGAACTCGCTACTGAATGTCGGGCGAGGTTTCGACATTTTTTGACCACTAGAAACAGGTTCGACGGAATGCTCTCCCTCTCAATGTGTTCTACCGAGAAAGTTCAAATTGAAAGTTTGCGTCGGTGGAACGAAATCGACGCGAAGCGTGCTTGACTTGGCGCATTGAAAATCCCACGTCCCTAGTCCCTAATTTCTCACCCTCACCAGAAACAATTACCTACAGAATAGACAGAATGTGTGAGATGCCAGAATACCTGGCTGCGCGTGGTGGGTCGAAGGTCAAGTTTCTTTGGAGGTGTGAAACGTTTGTTTGCTACTTGATAGTAGCAGTGTGGAAGGTAAATGCACCTGTAAAACTGGCCTGCCCGACATGGACAGCTTTTTGGCGCCCGGTCAGGAACAGAATGTGTACAAAGGTGGATGGTGACAAAGCTTTCGAGCGCAGAAACCTAAATTATGGAACTGACAACGTAGCTGCCTAGTAACAAGAAACTACTAGTAACAAGTGCCCTACTAGTAGTAACAAGAAGATAGTAGAAACAAGAATTAGAATTAATTTAAATTAGAACAGAACGAAGCTTTGCCGTGCTGAGGGGGTCGCATGCTCTAACTGTTTCGGTCGGGAGTGACCACAGGCCCGCGACCAGCGAAGGTGTAATTGGATCGGCGGCCTTTTTTCTGTAAAGTCTATGACCTTGTCATGCCATGTTCTTGGCTGAGGACACTGCGGCAGGGTTTCCCAGATTCTCTGCTTTTGCGCCATTCTTGCATGCCTGCAGCCTGCAGATGCCAGGCGCCACAGGTTATGCCAATGGAGCGTTACTTGAAGCGCGCGCTGCGCGAGTGAATGCCCCAGGTGCAAGGGTAGACTCGGCAGCATGTCCAGGGCAGCTCTTTCACTCGGCGTTGTGCTGTTTGTTGCTGTGTTATCCGACATCAACTGTCACCGCTCACTTTGGTGCTATGTTCGAGGCGAAGTGTCAATTCGTCGTTTGGCCCTCAAAGCTCACAGCTCGTTGGTAAAATGTGCACAGCAGCCGCATTCAAAGGCCATTGCGGCTAAATGTTGTGCGGGCCACACTGGCAGACGATCAAGACACAGGCCAGGGCCGGGGGCCAGATAAATACATATACTGTATATATACTCCCGGATTCCGCTGTGTTGTGATGTGTTTTGACGTAAATTCAGATTGTTTGCAGTATATCGCAGTCAAACTGTGAGAGGCGGAGAACCGGCATCTCCTCCACCAACGCAGGTCATAGCAAAACTGCCAGCCCTTGTGCGGGACGTTCGGGCCTGATGCTGCCCTTTTCGCTCTGCGAGCTGTGACTTTCCGAAGTTTTGCTTCATTTTTTCACGCTGATGTACGTGAGCATATGCGCCGATTTGCTAATTGGCTGGCCAGAACGCTGAATGTAGATCCCCCTGGTACTGGTAGCGCAAATGACTAAGATATATTTGCATGACATTGGCGCAATGTCTCAATGTCCGTCAAAATTCAACAAGACAATGACGAGACTAGCAGCGTCACTACAACCCACCAGACTACAACCACACAGCCGACGCCACTGCTACTTCTCCTGTCTTTATTGTGGTCGGTACACTGAATGCACTGCCGCCCACCACCCACAACACCAGCAGCAGCACGTCAACACAGCACCGCCACAAGTACCTACACCAGCTACACACGTCCTCACACCAGAGAGCTCTTCCTTGACCCAAACGAAAAAGGAGGCACGAAAAGCAAAAGGGGGTTGTCTGGGGCTTAAGCAGGTTCCGTCTATTTTTTGTTAGTAACAAGAAGCTATTAGGAACAAGGTGCCTTACTAGTAGTAACCATAAGAACTTAATTAGAATAGGAATCTATTAAAGGAATCTACGTGGTGCCGCGCACGGGATTTTTGAGCATTGCAAGTGATGTTTCAAGTCGGGTTGGATTGGGCGATTCCCATTTCACGCATGCGTTCTCCCTTTTCTTCTTTTTTTTTTGGGGGCAGCCCCTGCAAAGATATGTGGATGAGCATTTGGCTGGCTGATGTGGTGCTTTCAGCGTATGAAGCTAACAGCAGAGACACCGAGAATCTGGAAAGCACGAGGGGTTGATTGAAGGGCAGCTTCTGATAGGTAGATTGTAGATGTAAGTCAGTTGGAGAGTCAATGTATATATATATATTTTGGGCATAGGGCACACAACATATGTATGCAAATGCAAGAGGAGCATCAAACAACTGCAGTGTGTGGAGCCATGGTTTGGAGCATTTTTGCCTGACCATCGCGGCGGGCCCCGGGGAATGGCTTCGTTTCTGTCGCTTCCTTCCCATTTCAATTGCTATTTGCTGCCCCAACATCAGACGAGAGCAGAAGCTGCCCGGGTTTGGAGAAGGTTGGGTTCACCCCATAACTTTCGCGCAGACGTTGCCTGCTGCAGTGTTGACAAAATCAAGTCTGTCATGGAATACGCAGAGCTTGTTCTGAGTTTTAAGCTGCGCACCATGGAGCAACAGTTGGAGTTTGCTGAGGAAGTTGAGAACGGTTTGCGGAGATCCAAGTCTGGAAGTTTTTGCCAACCATTGATGCATGCACGGTTTGATTCCAGACTTGATGCATTGAAGAAGGTCTTACTCATGGGGCGCAGGGGCCTTCGGTTCACCCGCACGACCATTGACATCACTTTGAGGCCGAGGGTCAACCCTTTATGAGCGTCCAAAAGAGATATGCAAAAAAGCATTTGCCGAAATCAAATTATGTTTTTTTTTGCAGTTCACGGATGCAACTCCACACCGACAACATGTGCGCACTGTTTTGACAACGGGATTGGGGCCCTTGCAGATGGACAACGTGTCGCTCATGACATAATTGTGAGATAACGCTACTAGGAACAAGAAGCTACTAGGAACAAGTGCATCGCTTCTAGTAACAAGTGCCTTACTAGTAGTTACAATGCGACTTGTTGACCATCCGCCTCGTTGACCTGATGCATGTGGATGTGACAAGGGCCGTTTGCACACCTGTTTTCAAAACGTAAGAGCAGCGTGTCCTTGATCAAAAAGCATGTGCGTCAAAGTGGTCGTGACTATGTTTTTTTGTTTGTTGGTTTGGTTTGGTTTGGTTTGGTTTGTTGGTTGGTTGATTTGTTTGTTTGTTTGTTGACTGATTGTCCCAGCTTATTGCAGTAGGCAGTAGGGGTAAGACTCTTTCCGGGCTTTGCGTGGATTTAGGGGGCAGGCCGCCAGTGGGAGCTAGTAGCACAAGTAAGTTTACCAGTGGCTAGGGTAAGCTGACAAGGAACTAGTGTGTGTATATATATAAATGTGAGTGGGGCCAGACAACGCCCATTAGCTTCTTCAACGAAGTTCTCCACGCCTGAGAGCGGAGGGCGCTTTTTTCAAGACCTCTTCGCGTGATTGGGTTTGCTCAGATCTTTTGCGAGGCTTATGTAATCTTTTTTGGACATGTTTGTCTTCTTTATCTTTTGACTTCATCAAACGGACTTGTGTGTTCCTTTGTGCGCTGTTTATTCCCCAGAGAGCGAGAGCTATTGCGGCTCTTACTTGCAAGTATAGGAAGAGGTGCCTGTGTGCGCTTTGGAGGCTGGGTGCTGGCGTCGCTGGAGGGCGCTGCAGAGTGCCGCCGCAGTGTGCTGCCCACAAAAACCATTTGGCTATCTGGGGTCTGTGCTGGCGTAGTTCTGTTCTTTGCATTGTGTCTGCTTTACATGTAGGTATAGGGGGGTATCGCCAAGAGAGAGAGAGAGAGAGAACACATCAAGACTCGTGGACGCCGGAGTGTTTCTGCAGGTTACACTGCCTTTTGCCACGGCACAGCATCATGAGAGGAAAGCATGAACTCCGGCGAACATGGCGACGAATGATTCATGTCTTGGCATCCCTGGCAGCGACGGCAAATTCAATTCTTCACAGTGATGCTGATGCTATTCGTGCCGCGAGGACGGATGAGTACTTGAACTGTTTCCAGCTACCATTGCTCGCCGGACAGTCTGGGGTAACAACCCCTGCCCCACATAGACAGACGGCATCATTGATATACCCCTTCCAAAGGCCAGGAGGAAACGTGCGGACCTGGCATGTTTTCGTCGACCGGTTCTCCATCGCTTTTTCCCGGCTTTTGGCCAAACTGGTTTACCAAGTGAAAGCTATGACAGCAAGCTTGGACTTTGGATTCCTTACTGGTGCTGGTTCTTTGCTCTTCTGGGGTGATGAACGGTCTTTGGAAGGGCACACCACATGGCGGTGGCCAAATCACCTAAGAGACTGCAGCGAACCAACCTTGGAGGAAGTTTCCACATTGAGTTTTCTGATTTCAAACGAGACTCCCATGGAAGTGTTGGAAACTGTGTGGATGATCGCCGTCCAGGTGCTGGACATGTCGGACAATTTGCACATCCTGTTTGTGGAAGACTCCATACATGAACTAACCCAAACGATTTACCGGCCAGTTTTTGCAGGGGAGATCACTTCACGAATCCGCAACCTGGAAGCCAGCAAAGCAAAACATGTCAGCATCAGCATGGTGTGGAGGAGGCACCAGTCCTCTATATCCAATGCAGACGTTGTAGCTGCTAACTTGCCATGCAGCCATGGCACCGGAGATGTTAAGGCCTTGATTGTTGATGCTCGTGAGCGTGACCCACTCTTGGATATTGGAGATATAATCCGCATGATCCAAGGACAAACCAAAGGGTACCTGCAGAAAAAGCAATTGGTAGGATTGACCGGTTGGGCAGTCCATATGGCACAAGATAAGGCAAAGAGATTTGGTGAGGTGCCCAAGAGCCTTTGGGCCTATTTGGACTTTCACCGACGTGCTGTACAAGCATTCGCTACAAACCACGCACAGCAACAATCTGACAATTTGGGAGCGGAACAATTCCGGGCTTTAGTATACGTGTGTAACCCGTTTACGCTATGTGGTGGTCATGGCGATCGGACAAATGGTATCATCTCTGCATTTCTCATCGCAATGCTTACATCTCGGGCATTCTTTATTGACTTTGACTCCCCTTTGCCGCTCAATATGGTCCTCCAGCCACGTGTAAAAGACGGGGCATTTGTGCTGGATTGGAGGCTGAAGGGGCTGGGGTCCATGGGCGCCAGCCAGAGCTTCTACTTGGATGACCGTGTTTCATTTCAGGAAGATTTGACATGGTTGCTGGAAGATTCAATTCAAGTACTGCACTTGTCAATGAATCATCGAGAGATCAAAGCAATCCTGGCCATGGCCCCAGTTGTTTGACTCAGTTGCATGAATTGTCAGTGACAAGCATGGCAGTGCAGTAGCCAGAGGGGTTGGGATAAATCAAGGAAGCCTGTAAGCCTTTGTTCCTAGTAGCGTCCTTGTTCCTAGTAGTAATCAGCTAAAGCCTGTAAGCCTTTGTGGTTTATAGGTTAAGGAGACCGACCGCTGTGCTTTGCCTGAGGCGCATCCGTTGTTGAAGAGACGGGCTGAGGCTTTTGGCTTCAATCGTTGGCCGCACTTGGTGGCACGGCTTTGGGATCTCCTCTTCCAGCCAACTCCTTTGCTTCAGTCACGGCTGCTGGATGCTGCACAGGATCTGGGTCTTTCGGAGGACATGCTGCCTGTTAGAGAAAGGAAGGAACACCCGAGTTACAGCGGTAACATCGCCTACTTGGCGATTCACTTCCGAGCTGGCAATGAATCAAGGCGGTTGTGGTGGGATCCTTCGAGGCATACTTTGGAGACTTTGCGAAGCTTTTTGAAGTGTGCGGCTTTTGTGGAGAAAGAGCACGACCTTCCGAGCAGTACGCCTTGGTTTCTGAGCTCCGACACGATCTCAGCTTTCGACCTTCCCGAAGTGAAGGAACTTCAAGCTTCAGGAAAGCTCCGTCTATTGGAGCCGCAAGGACAGCACAGCTGGCAATTGGCGCATGTTGATCGTTCACATGCAAATTTGGGACTACAAGGCTTTGTTGATTCCTATGTTGCATATTTGCTCTTGGCTGCCGCGCGTGCGGTAGTGCTTTCTAGAAGCTTTTTCGGAGAAACCGCAGCCGAAATTGGAGCTGTACCACATGTATACTTTGCCGAGGGTTGTGTGAAAACAGATATTCATAGTTCTTAGAGGTCCCGCCCTTGAGGCCCTTCGGAGCCTTAGGTGAGCTTTGGAAGTCGAACAGGACAAAGTGCCTGTGAGGGTTGCGTGAAATATTTCGCCTGCTTTCCAGGGTGCGGGAGGCAATGGACAGAAGGTAATTGTAAGCCCTTCTCGGAACATGCATATCTTCGCATGAGGCTGCTTCAGGCCTGCGTGCCACACTTCTCGGAATCAGGAGTCGCAAACTGATTTCCCACGGGGAGACATACAGTTCACAAGTTCTTGAAGAAGTGCCTTGCTTGACACCACTTCAAGATGGCACCCCGCGAAAATTGGCGTTGCCTGAGGCGCAGCAACCCTGGCCATGGGCTCAGAATTTAGCATCGCCAGAGGATTGTCTGATGCTAATTTGATCTATATAATTTGCGGAGGAGGTAAGCTGTTGCCTCTTTTGCTCAAGTGGTGCATGTGTACTGCATACAAGTTTCCGTGAACTTTGCACATTGTACCGTAATGGGACTGTGAATTTATACCCAGCAACCACAGTTGAAGGAAAAAACAATTGGAGAGGCAAACGCATAAAGTCCCTGCACGCATGGAAAGGTCGATGGCCAGCAAACCCCACATTGACTATTCTTGCATACATCTCCACCCACCACGTTTGGGATAGAGGAATTGCCTTGTTACTTGTTACTAGTTGAAAATGGTCTTTGTTACCAGCGCCCTCTTGTTACTAGTGAGGCCAGGAGCCCCGTTCATAGCGTCCTTGCTCCCAGTGATGCTCGTCGCAGCTGTTTGGCTTCAAGTGGCGAAATGTCAAGCCGACGGGATTTGGCAGGCCGGAGCTCAGAGGGCGACGAGAAAACAATTTTTCCTTCATTTTGGTCCGTTAGAGGGCTAGGTGGGAGGTACTAGCTACTAGGTTGGAGGCCATTCCTTGTGTTTTGCCTCGTTCATGTTTCCACATAGTGCATTTGTGTCTGTGAGGTTTGGGCGGGGCGTGTGCCGTGAGATGTGCCCATGCGGAGATGTAACTCTGAAAGCTGAAATGACAATCAGTTTTGCTTGGAGGCCATCGCTAGTTGGAGGCCAAACAAAAAGCAAGTTTGGCGGACGTGAAGATAAGTCAGGTACGCCTTTGCCTATGGATATCCTGCATATGGCAGCGCAGGTGCTGTGCTGACACCTTCTGCGTCTATGCCTTAACTTTTGCACTGTTTAGCAGTTTAGCACTGCAGGTTTCCTGCCTGCCGGACCGAGGTACGAGTATCCTGGCTTTGGCTATGGGGCTTCCAAGGTTAGCCAATCTTTTGCATTCCATCTGTTTGCGATCGTTTTGGGCTAAATTTGCCGGTTTCAGCATGCAGGATGAAAAAGATTCTAAAAGCAAAGCTGCCAAAGCTTCCAAGGAAAAAGGCGTGAAGGGAGAGAAAAAGACGGCAGTGGTGAAGGACAAAGGAAACAAAGGCAAGGCAGAAAGACCCAAAGAGGCAAAGGCGGCTAAAGCTGCAAAAACTGCGACCAAAGCTGCTTCTTCACTCAAAAGTCCTCAAGACGCTGACACGCCGGATTGGCCCAAAGGACCGGTTCTGCCGAGGTTGTTGGCCGTAGGATGGGCTAAGGCTAAAAACTAGCCGAGCTAGGTAGGTTCAGGTAAGCTAAGCGGAGATACCGATGGGCCGCAGGGCTCAGGCTTCTTCAATGAAGCTTCCCGTGCCTGACAGGGGGAGCTTCCTTGATGAAGTCTGAGCCTTAATTAGGTTCCAAATTCTTGGTGGAAACTTACGGCAACTTTGTCACGAAAGCAAGCTCAATTGAGTGCTTGGAATCATTAGCCAAGCAAAGGTTGTTCCAGATTAGTGTTCGAGCATTTCTGCGCAAGTCTTATTGTTGACACTGGCGCTGAAGCATGAGAGAGTACACCATGGCCTGCATTGGGTGTCATTTTTCTTACGACTGGTGGTGGACTCTCTCATGTTGGAGGCCATCGCCAGTAGGTTCCTTAGAAGAAGCTATTTGAATTTAATTCAAATTGTTACTACTAGTAAGGCACTTGTTACTAGTAGCGTGGCACTTGTTACTAGTAGCGTGGCACTTCTACGCGTCACTCCCTGAGGACTCTCGGTGTCAGGCTGCAAAGACAAGACAGTGAAAAAGATCGTGAAAGGCGACTTCAGGTTTGCCGGAGAAAACCATGGCAGGCTCGTGTGAAAAGCATACCATTTGCAACAAACCCAGCAAACTTTGCAGGCCGTACTATAAGCGTGACGAGAAATTCAATGAACTGGATGCGACGGCCTTATTGTGAAAAAAACTGCATAGTTTTTGCCCTGCAAGTTGGCACTGGCATTTGTCCATGTGCTCTACATGAAAACGGCTGGGGCTTTAGATACTCCCAGACCCTGTGAGTATCAATCAGATCAAATGGGTGGTGTGGGGCATAGGCTTCGCTCGTCCTTCAAGTGACCATGCAAACTCGTCCGCCAACCTACTAGCGATAGCCTCCAACCTAATAGAGGAAGCTAGACAGTGGAGCTTCCCTAAAAATCTACGAACCACATTATAGTGCGAGCGCTTTTTCAAGGAAGCCCCCCCTGCCTGAGGCAGTTCCTGCGTCCAGTTACTAGCAGCGGCCTACTTAATAGCTTTGTAAGCAGCTACCATTCTTACCCATCTAGCTGCACTTATAAGCTACTACGGCTTCGCCATACTTCCCTACAAACACAACAGCAGTTCCGTGTTTGTCTCTAGAGTCGAACGAATGTGCACTCCTTCAGGTGATGCTCTACTACTGGGATGATCGAGATGGTTCAGATTTCTCTGGTTGGTGGTTTGGCCCGAAGGTTGGTGGAGACCAGGTTTGGGCTTATCAGCCCGGAAAGGATAAGACTCCGCCAGAGACGGGATGGAAGGCACCGATGGGTGTCGAACATGCCTCACTTTTCTCGAACAAACTCAAGTTTCTCTAAAAATCTAGGAGCCTAGCTTCTACTAGCTTCTACTAGCTATACTAGCTACCTAGCTACCTCTACGGCCGACCCGCCCCCGGGCTTAAAAAGGAATTGTTGTTCATTCGAGTTTAGGTTTTGTGTTCACACTTCTGAGGCTGTTTTGGGTGAACATATTGCCACAACAGGTGCCCTATGACGGGTCAGTAGACGAGAACTTCAAGGTCGTCCGAAAGAAAGAGAAGAAGGAGAAGAAAGAGCTGAGGGAAGAAAAAGCTGTCCGACACCAAAGACGCCAAGTGTTTGAGAGCAAGCTATAAAAACCAGTTCTGATTTTCTTTTTTCCGAGGCGGTTGCGTATCCGGGCATGTGGTATGGAATGCCTACGCCTGCGCTTCTAGATCCACATGCAGCAGAGCGTCAAATGCAGGATGTGTGCAGAGCTGCACATATGAGATAAAGTTGCGAATATAGTCTTGTTCAGCAACCACTGTGCGTTCAGCAACTAGGTTTCAGCAACTATTTTGTTGAAAGCATATTCAGACAGTGGCCAGGAGTATGCCCGCTTGCAACAGGAAGAGACGAAGAGGAGGCTTCGAGCCCTGCTTGTTTGCGAACAATTCAGTTGGTGGTTTGAGCTTTAATTGGGAAGGTTTGGCTCTGTGGGAACATATATGCAGTTGCACCGCCAATGACAGACATCCAGCAGATGAAATTTGATATGTCTCAGGCTCGAAGAGGAGTTCCAGCGACAAAAGCGTGAAGAACAAATGAGGAGAAGTAGACGGAAATGGAGAAACCGACAAATCTGAGCAAACAACGAGTAACGAGAATATGTTTTGTACTGGACAACTTTGCAATTGTTTTGATCATGAAGGCGTGAAGCAGAAAGAAAGCGAAAAGAGGAAGCACGAAAGAAGCAGGAAGAGATCAGGAAAAAGAGAGAGGACGCTGAAGCAGAAGCTTGGAGTTCTGGGCGTTCTCTCCCAGGTAGCTACTAGGAACAAGTACATCGCTACTAGTAACAAGTGCCTTACTAGTAGTAACAATGTTTGCTAGTAGAAACAGTAAATTAGACTTGTTAGCGTCCGATCGCTCCTAGTAGTACGGCCAGGAGCCCCGTTCGTAGTGTCCTTGCTCTGTTCGTAGCGATGCCCTTTGCTCCGTTCGTAGCGTCCTCTCAAGAACCATGCCCAGAACTTGGCACACTATGTAGAAATCTCGTGTGCGATCAAAGCTGTGTACAAATCCACAATCCCCTTCCTCCACGCCACGTTGAATTGGTGTTTCAATCAAACAGCAGAGTACTGGAATTCGACTTGCCGTCCTTTAAGTCATTACTGTATTTGTATTTGCTCCTGCTGTGGATGCAGTTGTTAAACAGTTTCTCACTTTTCGTTCCACGTGGTGGATGTTGTATGAGATAGTCCCAAACTGCCAAACCCCAAGCAAGAAGCTACTTGGTTAGAGGCCATCGCTACTAGTAACAAGGGCACCAGTAGCAGCAACATTCTTCAAATGGATAATCCTTGTGACTGGGCCTTTGGTGACTTGCACGAAGCCACGCTTTGGCGTTTGCACTTGCCTTTTGACTTGCATTCGCGTCCGATGCCTGGAGACATTCACAGTTCACAGTGGAACGGCATTCTGTATGTGGTGAATTCTTGTTACTACTAGTAAGGCACCTGTTACTACTAGCGTGGCACCTGTTACTACTAGATGTTTTGGATCCGTTCGGACGTCATGTTGTGATGATATGTACTGCTCCTGCTTTTGCTCCTGCTTTTGTTAGAAGAACCCTTTGCTCAGGCGCTCTCGGGAAAAAGGAACAACACACAAGGGACATTGCACCGTGGGTTGGTCCGTTTTTCCAATAGTTTTAGAACAAACCTGTGAGCTGTTAACGTAACACTAGCTTGTGTTTGACTCCTTACAGCCTCAAGTTGCGCAGATCCAGCAGCTGAGTTAGCGAACTGCCCTAGTGAACTGGCATGTTGGGGCGTAAGATCCTGAGATATTCTGGCGCAGTTCAACTCCGGGGCGTTGATGTTGCGGTTTGGGAGCCTTCTGGCTCGCGCTGGTGTCGATCACCTTGAGCCGGTTCCATGTAGGTGTGTAGCACGAGTCGCGAGTCAGGAGGTGTCGACGGCCCTCTGGACATTGACGGACAGCTTGGGTTCTCAGTGGTTGACGTGAGAGTTGCGCTGTGCGTGACAGATGCAGTCTGAATACGATCTTTTTCAAAGGCATCCTTTATACAGCTAAACCTCCGTTGAAGAAAGCCGCTTTGCTCCAATTCCATCCAATTTGGATGGTCCGTTCCTTTTCTCGTGACTACTTTCTCTGCACGATGAGGTCGCCTGATGCCGCGACAAGTTTTATCCATATCTGAACTCAGAACTCATGTTGTCCTGAACTGCGGCAAGTTTTCTTAACCGATGTGTAACGAGATCGTAGACGAAAATGCAACGCCATGACCTCAGTCCTAGGCTTGCCCAAATTTCCCCAGCGAGCAGGTTGAAGGAAGTTGAGAAATGACAAGATTCCTGAGGTTATTTAAACTTTGATTAATGCAAAGAAATCTTTAGCAAGGTTTCGATATAGCCTAGGACGGCTTGAGGACTTTTCAACTTTATGAATGTTCACAGGGTCGCACGCAAGTTTCCATGCAGCTGAGCTGAATGAAGAAAACTAGACGACAGAGTGTCCCGAAAGCACAGCAGGAGAGGAAATAATGCAATTATGAGGATGAATATGATGAGTAGGAGACTGAACAAGTAGCAAGAAGGTTTTGAATTGTTACTAGTAGCTTCTTGTTATTAGTAGCAAGAATGCTCTTAGTAGCGATGCCAGGAGCCCCTAGTAGCGTTCTTGTTACTAGTAGGAGAGGGAACAAACTCTTTTTCTTCCCCTGTTGGTTGGATTGTGATGGTATGCCGCAGACAACTACCGTTCGCAGACTGTGCATGCTAGGAGGGGCTAGAAGTGGAAACCGTATGGGTTCACGTAGATTCCAGTCATGATCACGGCTGCTTCAAAGCCGTAGATTTCTAACTCCAGAATCGCCATTGCATCATCGGGGTGGCAATGGTGTTCTGCAGGGTGCAAGCTGAATTTCCACGTGCCTTCGTGCAAAAAGGGAAGAGAAGCTTTTGCATAGACATTATTTCCGTTCATGGTAGCACAGGCCTCCCATCCTTCACGAAGCGGATACGGCTGGTCATGGCTTTGATGGTCTAGCTTTTTGCGGTCATACGGCAACTCCTTGAGGGCAAACGGGCAGTCGGGCAAACCTGAAACGCCACAGTCTTAGCGTCGTTGCAACTCCTTGAGTTCGGCTGTAGCAATCCCAAGCTTCTGCCGGCCATTGGCCATTCATTCCACTCAGCGTCGCGTTCTTTTTCTTCAGCGCCTTTTGCTTGGCCACTGCTGACTTGGCAGACTTGGCCTCGGCCTTTGCTTTGCCAGCGGGCTTCGCCACAGCCGTGCTCGACATGTCCTCAGCCTGTTCCTCCTCCTTGGCTGCCTTTCCATTTTTCTACTTTGCCGCGGCCGACTCACGTTCCAAGATCTCCTGCTCGATTTGTTCTTGGAAGTGCTTGGCGAACTCTTCCAAGCTCACCCATGGCGCCATCAGTTGATGGACAAGCACGGACAGACGCTTCGCTGTAGCCTTGGTCCGCCCATTACCTAAGGGGCTTGAAGGGAGCTTCAACAACGACGCCCTCCAGAGTGGTTTTCCTCCTAAGGAAATTTTCTTCAAAGAAACCCTCACAAACTTTCACTTGGCTCGAGCATCCTTCGTCTTGGCCACCTTGCTGAATCTGTTTGTGAACTTTCGGTGCTGCCAAATAGGTACAGCGGGTGAAGCTAGTAGGAACAAGTGCCACGCTAGTAGTAACAAGTTTCTTACTAGTAGTAACAATGTTTGCTAGTAGAAACAATAAGCTAATAGCTTCTTCTTACTACTAGTACGGCACTTGTCACTACTAGCGATGCTTCCAACAGACTGTGGATACGGTGAAACATCGCTGTGCTTCGTCTGCTTCGCATCGTTGGTTCCCGGGGTCGCACGCCGCTGAACTGCCCGAACACAGAAGGAAATGGTTCTCATCTCGGATTGTTGCAGCTTTCCTGGATGCATCGTGTAAAATCAACATGTTTCTTTGATGTTGTGAAAGGTTGGCCACGCTGACCACCAACGCCACAAGATTGCGGGAACGTCTGCTCGGTCTGTGCTAATGCAAGGCCGCCTTGGCGCTACAATCTCTTGCAAAAGCAAGAGTGGCGGCCGTGTTGGGTGCTGGTTCGTTCTGCACTTGTTGAAATTGAGGCTGCGTGTAGGTCACAGGATTTGAGGTGTCCATCTAGTTTTGCACGGGCCGTTAAAACATGATATGGAATCTAGCCATCCCTCTCCGCATGTTTGCAGAACCCGGATTGAAGTTGCTGAGCTGCGCGATTGCATATAGAGAAAGACATTGGCCCTCATTTGCAACCAGGAAGCACACAGGTTCAACTCTCCTGTCGGCCCCCAGCCTCATTCAAGTGTCTCCGCTTGATCCGCGGAAAGAATCGGCCAGGAGCCCCGTTCGTAGCTTCCTTGCTCCTAGTAGCGATGCCAGGAGCCCCTAGTAGCTTCTTGTTACTACTAGTAAGGCACTTGTTACTAGAAGCGATGCACTTGTTCCTAGTAGCTTCTTGTTACTAGTAGCGATGCCAGGAGCCCCTAGTAGCGTCCTGTTCTGTATCCGATGTTCATCCCGATGACCAGCTTCCGCACCTTTCCTCCGCCTTGGTAAACCTTCGGTTAAAAGGGGTTTTTGGGTCAGACATACCGCATTTCACATATGCAAACTTGTAAACCCTTTTTTGGTAGGAGGAGATGAAGAAGCAGAAAGAGCTGCAGGAGCAACGGATCAAAGAAGGCAAAGCGGTCTTTTTGGTCCGAAAGGCCGGCAGAAATCACTTTCTGAAGTCTCCGGGAGCAATGCCCTTTGCTCCTAGTAGCGTCCGATCGCTCCTAGTAGTAAGGCCAGGAGCCCCTAGTAGCGTTCTTGTTCCTAGTAGCGATGCCAGGAGCCCCTAGTGGCGTCCTTGCTCCTACTTGCTTCTTATTACTACTAGTAAGGCACTTGTTACTAGAAGCGATGCACTTGTTCCTAGTAGCTTCTTGTTTCCAAGTTTCTGTTTCCATCCGTGTCCGTATTCGCCCAAAACACCCTAACCCAGCGCCGAGGCCATTCAGAAGTTGGAGGCTGCCACTCCGGAGACCATGGAGGGTCTTCAGAAAGAAATGGAGGAATGTTTGCAGCTTCATTTGGAGGAGCGTTGCACCACGTCCTTTCACGCTGCGGGTCGTACGGGTTACAGCTCTTCTCGGTTAATGTGGCAACATTTCAAGCCTTCAGCCACCTTCCACTTCAGCAGTTGGCTGTCAGCCACCTCCCAGTTCTTCAGAACAGGACACTGGCAGCCAGAAGGGCCACATGAAAAGTGAGTGCGACAAGTGCATGGAAAAAACAACAAAAAGAATAGAACTGCTAAACGAGGCCAAGCTGCTGCGCCGTTCTGTGCCATTCATGATGTTGAGGGCTAGTTTTGTGCTGACGTGACGATCTAGGCCAAACGCAAAGCACAAGAGAAGAAGGAAGCAGATGAAAAGAAACGTTTGGAGATGGAGACCAGGGCCAAGGTCACGCTGGCACTTGTTGCGGAGTGTAATTGCTCCCGATGGAACATTTTTCAGGACCTGCTATCAGAGCTAAGTGGACTTTTGGACATGGCAGACAAAGGAGTTCCGCTCTCAGCTGCGCAGTCTAGATTTAAACTGCCGTGCCGTGAAGAGTGTCAGGCTTCGCAAAGTAGATTTGCAAGGCACCAGCGTGCAAACCAACAGACAAAACATACATATAACGATTTCTGAGAGGTTTGATCCTCCCTGTTGTTCACAAGTGTTCCTATTCTCAAGAGGCTTTCCGTTTAGACAAGCACATGTTTATTTGTTGCTTAGCTCTCTCTATGATTGGCATTCTAGAAGCAAAAAATGCAAAGACTTGACCGCTGTTGGCAATATACGCCATAACATATTGAATCCATTGTTCAATTTCAAGTAACTTTGCAGCAGGTTGTTGATTACAGGTAAAACTTTAAAACTTTTGCGGAGCTTAGGTTTCTTAGACACGAACTTCAATAGTTGCGATCCTTACGGAGGAACAAGATGTATACAATATGCACCGTGCTCATATAGATGTATTTTTACAGTCAAAGTGAAGCATGAACATGGTAAAACATGACAATTGCCTTGTAAATTGGAGAAGGGGGTTCGGGATAAGGTGGGGTAATTTTCATGTGCGCTTTACTGTGTGCTTGAGCCTATTGCACACATAACACATTGTGACAAAGGCAACCCCTCCCCACTACCCGCTCTCTAAAATCTCAAGCTTGAGGGTCCCATTGATCCTAGTAGTATGGCCAGGAGCCCCTAGTAGCGAACCTTGTTACTACTTAGTAAGGCCCTTGTTACTAGTAGCGATGCACTTGTTACTAGTAGCTAGGTGTTTTGTTGCACATTTTGCATCATTTTGCTCCAGTTTTCTTCGGTTTCAGGTTGAACAGCTTAGAGAGACTGCTGCGCCCATGGAGACAAGCGATGAGCAAAGCCTCCATGAGGTGCGTGTGGTGTGGCCATGTGTGGCGTGAAGTCTCAACAGCTTACCGCCCTCTTTACAGAAGGTGTGGATGTCCCTTGCTCCTAGTAGCGTTTTGCTCCTAGTAGCGATGCCAGGAGCCCCTAGTACATAGCGTCCTTGCTCCTAGTAGCGATGCCAGGAGCCCCCTAGTGAGTCCCCTCTTGTAGGTCTTTTCGCAAGTTGAGATCTTCCGGATCAATTCAGAGATGGGATTTTATATACAAATGCAAGCACCATTCTACCCACTCTTTGGCCACATTTGGACTCTTTCTCGGCTATGTATTGAACAAAAGAAACCACTTGCGATGGCCTCCAACCTAATGGCGATGGCCTCCTACCTAAAAGCGATGGCCTCCAACGGCCTCCAACCTGAAAGCGATGGCCTCCAACCTACTAGATTTTTTCTACGCATTCAGTTTGTTCAGGTGGAAGCTTGCTCGGAGGCTGTTGAAGCTGCTGGCGCTGACTGCAAAGCTTTGATTAAGACCTGCATGGACTTCTTGGTCAGCCATGGCCCAGAAATGAAGGACAAGGGTGTTAGGTTCTCGTTTTACGCCAGATTTACTTTACGCGGTGGTTAGGCCCACGTTGAAATGGCAGCCTCTTTGGTTTTGTTCATGTGTCATCGCTACTAGGGTGAAGGCCCTCGTTATTAGGTTCCTTTGTTTTTAATTCTATTTTTTCTATATCTCTCTCTCTCTCTCTCTCTTTGTTATCTTTGGAGGAACCACCCATCGTGGGCCTGTCTCCGGGTACGACTGATCTGAAGCAGCGCATGGCTCGCTGCCTTTCCCGCATCAACGAGTCGGGGGGCGTGGCCTTTCGTTTTCAAACGGCATATTTTCAATGGGACAAATTGTGCTACTAGGAGCAAGAGGACGCTACTAGGGGCTCCTGGCATCGCTACTAGGAGCGATCGGACGCTACTAAAGAGAGTCCTCTTTCATTTCCTCACTGATTCGCTCAGCGAAGCTGTAAGGTGCACCAAGCTCAGCGACGCTGTTTTGACAGCAGTGCGTGCTGTAAAAGATGCTGCTGCTCGCCGTGTGGTGGCTACAGCAAAAACTAGAAGCCTCGAGGAGCCGCGCCTTGTGTCAAGCACCGCATGCTTGTCTTTGTCGGCAGTTCTGTGCCAGTTATTCTTAGCTGGAACCTCGCACGTGGAGGAGCTTTTTGCAAAGTTTGATGTAGATCGCGACCAAATGCTCTCCACATCAGAGGCTCTTTGTTTAGAGAGAATTGCATGTTTGATGACATGCTTCCACACATGACTTGTGTGTGTGTCTCTCTCTCGAGAGAGAGGGCAGGGGGGAGCGTTGTTATGTGACATCATTGGCTGTGAGTGTTGCGATGCTTTCTTCATTCGTTTTCGTTTTGACGTGGTAGAAGTCGCTTTGTATAATTGGTCGTCTTTGGGTGTTCGTCTTGTACTTAGGTGTCCGGTTTTCTTTGGATCGTATGCATATTGGACTCCAACTCCTGTAGGGTTGGTGTGTCAGATTGTGCTCTTGCATCTCCATTTCATTCACATTTGTCACATTTGATCTGTCACATTTGTGAACTGGATCTGGTGAGAGGTATGCAGGAGATTGCAGGAGATCGTGCAGATATGTGCAGATCATCTTCATTTCTGTAGGGTCATTTCGGTTCTTTCCAGCATTTTGGTGTGTGTGGCCTAGGTCGCGCTGAGACAACATATGCTGGCTAGTTATACTACTGATTAGTAACTTAGGACTTGTCAGACATACACGCCAATTCCAAAAGCCTATGTCATCAGGATTGATCCAACATTGGCATTTCCTCTTGAGGCCTATGTCATCGGGCCACAACCATCAAATTCATAGAAATATATATGAGGTATTCAAGGAAGCAGCGCCCGCAAAAACACATAGTCGCACCCTATGTCACCACAGGTCCTATGACACCAGGTTTCCCAACCCAGACTTTCTTTTTTGCTCGATATGTCAGGGCACATGACTTAGCCCTGAGGGTAGCCAGATTGGTATGTCACTTGCATCACGTCGGCCTAAGTCATTAGACAGTAGTATAAGTTTCCCGATTAATCTAGGAACCAAATGAATACTGCGAGGGCTTCTTCAAGGAAGCCTGCGTCCATGCTAGTAGCGTACTAGTAGCTACTTGTTAGCTACTAGCTACCGTTTGCTTCTACTAGCTACCTAGCTACCTAGCTACTACCTCTTCTCGGCCACCCCCCCGGGGCTTTCTGTTGTCGAGGACGCTACTAGTAACAAGTGCATCGCTACTAGGAGCGATCGGACGCTACTAGGGGCTCCTGGCCTTACTGCTAGGAACAAGATGACGCTACGAACGGAGCAAGAACACTAGGAACTCCTGTGAAATTGGTTCCCGTGGATCTTCCTGCTCCATTCGTTCACTTGCGTTCGTCTCTTGGTGTGTTGCTCTCGCTCCTGATTCCGTGTATGACAAACATTGTATGTTAGCTGGATTGCCCGGCCGTTTGCTAATCTAGGGATGGAGGATGATAGAGGATTGTCTTGAAATGATGCCTCCACGTGATAGATACCTTCTCGTTGTCTTTCATCTCTACTCCGTTCCCCAAACACCGTTCTGTCACGAGATGATTTCCTCCTTGTCTCCTTTCTTGCCTCCCCACTAGCATCCTGTCACGGGTTGTGTGGCCCTAGTTTGTTTCGATGCTTCCACTTTTGTCGTTTGCGCTTGTGCACTCTGACGATTTAGTTTATTAGAAACAAGAAGCTACTAGGAACAAGTAACAAGTGCCTTACTAGTAGGAGTAAAGGACGCTATTAGAAACATTGTCTCAAGTTGCGATGTCCGTGTTTCCCTCCACGGGTTTGTAGCCTGTGGTCAGAGAGGTGGGTGCGATCGAGGCTCTGTAGTCGTCATGTTATTGTAGCGTCCGATCGCTCCGTTCGTAGCGATGCCCTTTGCTCCTAGTAGCGTCCTTTGCTCCTAGTAGTAAGGCCAGGAGCCCCTAGTAGTTTCCTGTTCCTAGTAGTTTGTTAGACATGCTGCCTAACATTTGGGCAGAACCAGTTCTGAAAGTGTAGTGCTGAATGGGAGTTGGGCTCGTGCAGTGTAAGCCGACGGGCTGACCATGTTCAAGGTGTACCTCTGTCTAGTCCAGTGACTGGAAGGAGTGGGTGCTTCACAAGACAGTGTGGACTTGCGTGACTATGCACTCGGTCCAGAAATTGCCCTGGGGAACTGTGGTGCATAGTCACGCTGGGCACAAAAGAGCTGGTCCTGAGTCAATTCTTGCCGTCCCTTGTTGCTGCTTGTAGTTCTTCTTCTGCCTTAGCTGGTGATGGGAAAGGCGAGTAGGAAGAGGCAGACGGAAGGGGCAAAAAGGATGTTTTTTGGCAAACTGATGCGGTTTCGTTGAAATCTCTTTGCAGAGGTCCGCGCCTTTGCCAAGGAGTTGGGTGTGGAGATCTCTCCTGAGGCTTCTAGTGTGTGCCTGTGAGCCAGCAATGCATTGCCACAGAAACGACTTCAATTCATAGAAAACCGCAGACGACGAGCTGGCAGCGCGACCCACCAAGCATGAGCTAGAAGAAGACCCGCCGCCTAAGTCTGTTGCAAGCAATCAATGGCCACACAAGCTACTTAGCAGCCTTAGCAGCTAATTGGAGGCCATCGCTCTTAGGTTGGAGGCCATTGCTAGTAGGTTGCATATAAGCACCAATGGCTGCCCACTATAGCTCCCACCCGCGACCACCGCTGCAGTGTATCAGAGCTATCCATTTCCTTGCTGCAGGTCAAAAAACCAAACCGCCAGACACCCCGGTACAGTACCCCTTTTCGCACAAGACAAGTAAACCTGAACATCCAAGAGAGAGAGAGAGAGTGAGTGAGTGAGCGAGGGAGGGAGTGAGTGAGGGAGGATAGAAAAGCAATCGACTTTAGTAGAGGCCGGCAGGGGGAAGTAGTAAGGCAAAGAAGAGAACAACCGCAGCATCAAACAAGACCAAAACTGAGATGTTATGGCCAACGAACGGTGGAGAAGAGAAAGGTAGACAGCAACCACACAAAAGAACAGCAGAACTTGGTCTCAGTTGTGGGGCACAACCAAGACTTTCGGCTTGCAGTTTAGTGGACTTGTTTGAGCATACATCTGAATGAGATCATGGACATCGTCTCCTTTCTACTTGTTTTTTTGTCTCGTGGCGTGTGCTCCTTGGGTCGAGGCCATGAAGCAGATCTGGAGATCCATGGTTGATGAACAGGGAGGAGTGGCCTTCTCGAGGTGATGCGGTGATGCCAACTGTTGATGCTCTTTGTTTGTTTCAACAAGATGGCCTCCAACCTAAAGAATACCGAGCTCTTTACTAGTTTGTTTGAACAAGTTGTCCTTGTAAACACCGACATCTTCAGATTTGTCAAGATTTTCTGCTCCAGATTTCCCTTGCTCAAGATGAAGTTGGGTGTGGAAAAAGAGTTGGTTCGAGACCGGCAAGTCCCTCAGATTTGCTAGTGGATCACTTCCTTGGAGTGTTGGTCTTTTGACTAGGCAACGGAAAGTCCTGCGTGAAGCCAGGGACAAGGTGGAGTTCGCGTGAGCTCATGACACGTGCAGACTCAGAAGATTGAAACTTCTCCAGGTCAGAGCCACTCTGCGAGCTCAATTGGATACCAAGGTTCAGACTAAGCACCAGCTTCATCAGTGGCTTCATGCTTGAAACCTTTCCTGCGAGCAAAGCACGTGGTGAGGTGGAAGTCGTGGAGCGCGAGGTGGATGCCATGAAGCAAGCTGTGGTGAAGGTCGAGGGGGCTCTCCCACCTCTCACTGAGCAGGAGGGGCTGGAGGGGCGATGTTTTCGTTGACTGCCCATGGCGTTGCACGTGTCTCGTACACTCGCATGAAAGTGTCAGCAAGTTTAGACTGAGCTATCGGGTCTGCTGGGGCATTGTCCTTGCGTTTACTTCAGGTCTCGCATTTTTCTACAGCATGGTCATTGAGGGTGTGTAGACAACTTGAGCAGAGAATTGTGTCGTTTGTGTTTCTGTCTGGATTGCATGGGGCAGGATCGCAACACACTTGCGGAAGCAGATTTGTTCTCGAAGACCGATGGTTGCAAAAGATTGATTCAGGCATCGAAGTCGGAAAGAAGGGCTTTGGTTCGGCCACGCCACGACTGTTTGATTGTTTCTTGCTTGCCAGGACGCCAGGCAAGTGGCCCTTACAGTCCAAGAAAAGATCAAAGCACTCCCAGGTGGTTTCGAAGAGAAACACTTGGAAGATGTCAAGGACTCCGAACTTCCTGATAGAAAACTCCGGTCTGTGAGCGGTCTTCCGTCCAGCAACTCTCTCTCTGAAGCTGTTTGCATTTATCAGCTGCTGCTCTGAAGCTAGGACCTCTTAGTGCCCGACCTTCGAGTTTTGTCAAAGCAGCCGCAGCCTGAAATTATATACAAGAAGCTACTAGCGATGTGCAGACTGCTAGTGACACTGCTTGGTTGAGAAACTCAGATGGCACTTTGCTGCTTTGCTTGCTTCACTCAGGATGGGTCGCTTGGATCTACGGCTGCATCGGGTTGAACTTCTTTGCGACCGCTTCAACTCCGAGGCGCTGAAGGGAACGAAGGCTGAAGGCGTGTAGGTCCTAGCATCCTAGGAAGCAAAGACATACGAAACTTTAAGGTAGCTTCTTGTTCCTAGTGCGGCCAGGAGCGCCCCGAACGTAGCGTCCTTGCTCCTAGTAGCGATGCACTTGTTTCTAATAGCTTCTTGTTACTACTAGTAAGGCACTTGTTACTAGTAGCGATGCACTTGTTCCTAGTAGCTTAAATAGCTACTACTGACAGGATGCAGGATAGCTCGCGCTTCAAGGAAACTCCTGCAGGGCGGTGGGGGAAGCTTCCTTGAAGAAGCGCTCGCACTACTGGTTTGGTTCCTAGATTTTTAGGGAAACTTAACATTTAGCTACGTCCTATTGTTACTAGGTGAAGTGATTCCGAAACTTCAAAGACCATTCCTAGTAGCCTTTTCTTCCTAAGGCTAGGAGCGCCCCTAGTAGTCCTTGCTCCTAGTAGCGATGTCCTTTTGTTACTAAAAGATGCAGAAGGTAGTGCAGTTGTTACAGGTACAGTTTTATTTCCTCTCTAGGTTGGCCATCGCTACCGAGGTATGAATACAGAGAGTTTCCTTTCCTGGACCCAAACAAAGTTTCTGGATTGCACAGGTGGAACGGCGTCAGCAGGCGCACCTCTATGGAGCGCGGCTCTTTGCAGTGAAGGCATCTTGAACATGTACGCTTCCAAACATGCTTTCTTCGCAGGAGCAAGAAGCTACTAGTGACAAGACCCATTCCTAAAATGACTTACTTCAGTCACCTTCACACTGGACCTAAAGAAGCATATGAAACTAATGCTGAAACGATATCTTTGTTCTGCTGAAACTATGCTGGGTTCGTCGTTTTGGTCACCAAGTACAATAAGATCTATTCAACTTCATCGGCCAAGCAAAGAACAAATTGGAGTGAATCCTTGTTCCACAACTCAAGATGAAGTTATTTTAAGAATGCTGAACATTAAAACGGAACGAACACTTTTAACAGAAAGGCAGACGACTTCAACTCGATGCGCTGACTGTGCAGGTAGCAAGACTCTACGCAGCTCGCCGAGGCCGAAGCATTCGCCAACTGTCCGTGCCTTCGTGGTGGGTTGGGAACAAAGCCAAGCAGCTTAAGCATTTGGATGCATGCTTTTTTGATGTGCGAACTTGACGCACACACATATTTACATATATATTATATAACTATATAGAATTGTATACACACATGTTATACCCACATCGAAATGTATATGTAGAGAACCTTCTTAAACATTTGTGCTGTTTCTCTCCTTTTGTTTACGAGTCTACCGGTATCGTGCCCCGAGGTTCAGGGAGATGGATGCGAACGGGGATGGTGAGATTGACTCCAAGGCTTGGCATTTGTGCCCAGGCAATGTGCTAAAAAGGAAGTCAAATGGCCTCCAACCTAGCTACGGCCTCCAACCTAGTAGGGATGGTCAAATGTTGGTGTTTTGAAAAACAACGTGAAGACCAGTTGTTTTCCGAATGTCTAGAACGTCCTCGAGTGCAGGAGTTCTCACTTTTCTTTATGTCCATTGACAGGGACATTTTGGAAGAGGAGAGATTGCATTTTCTTCACTCATGGATTCACTTTTCTTGCTACTAGTAGCAAGGTGCCTTACTAGTACTAACAAGCCACTATGACAGTAGTAAGGCACCTTGCTAGTAGTAGCTTCTGCCTACTAGTAGCTTCAATGCCAACATACTTTGGTGTACAGATCTTTGAAGCTTTGAACGCTTTGCGCTCACAATTTGGATGCGCTTGTTCGACTATTTGCATTCTCATTTCCAAAGCTAGCCACACTCGGGCTGCAGATTGCATTTGAACAGCATCAAAACATTCTTCATTAGAACCAAGGCAGGTTCTTGTCAGGTTTTGCTCGGAAATACCTTCGCTCAACCCACCACCTTCACAGTGTCTACGACTACTTTGTTGACATTGGTGACTAAGTGGTGTGGTGGTCAGACCCTGCAAGCTTTCCTTCTCATCCTTGAATGTTGCAGGGTTGTTTCCATTGCTCGTCCTCCTGTTGGCACTTGGCACTTGTTGTTTACCTCTTTCAGCCTGGCCATCCTCCACTTTGCTACTGGCTTTGGCTGGGCGACAGGACATCCAGTTGTGTTGGTTTTTGGTGAGGCAGAGTTAGTATTCTCGTGTGGAGCTCTTGAGCCTAAGCCTAGACGCTTAAAGCGTACATGTAGCCCATACATAAGGGGTAGCCTTCAAATTACCATACCTATCTTTGCCTTTCCGTCCTTCTTGCCACAACCCTCCTTCGGGGTGTGTCACGCACACACACGCGCCCACACGTGCACCACGAATGCTACCAGCTTTTTGAGTATCGAGACATTTCGATACTTTTTTGGCACACCTTATAGCTGTTTTTAACACAGGACGCTACTAGGAGCAGAGGGCATCGCTACTAGGAGTAAGGACGCTACTAGGGGCTCCTGGCCTTACTACTAGGAGCAAAGGGCTTCGCTACTAGGACCTTTTCGACAGGATAGGTTCTTTCTTGAGGCTTCAGCTCCGCCCGAGCTTGGCAAAGCGAAGCTGCCGGTGGGCACCTCAAACTTTCGTTAGCCTCCGGAAAGTGACATGTAGTAAGAATACTGCCTACTTGTAACGAGTAAGAATGCTACTAGTAGCGCCAGGAGCCCCTAGTAGCTTCTTGTTACATGTATAGAATGGTTTGCAGTACTGCTTACTTTGCCAAAGATTGACATTTGCTACGCGCAAATGAGGGTTGCCCGCTAGGTTTCTACTTGTTTTGGTGGCATCCATGCTTGTCGAAACCGCAGAGCAGGTTTTCTTCTTCTTCTTCGTGTTCAGGGTAAACACTGCGCAGTACCGCAGTACCGCTATTGGGTACCAACTGCTGAGTCTTTCACGAAGGTATGAAGGCACTCTGTCAAAAACCTCAGTCTTCAACGGCTTTTCAGTCGTAAGATGCATTTTCCATTGCATGGGCTCCAATCATTTAGGTTGAGAACAAAGTACTGTTCCCAAATCAAATTTTCCGATTGGAGAGTTTTTTTTGCGGCGTTCATGTGTGCCCGATCCGTCCCTGCCTTTTGAACTGTAAAATCTGCTTTGCCTCCTTCCTTCTTGTCTGATGCAAGGTAATTAAGATGCTGGATTGAGCGTCCTCCACTCCACCCAACTCGACTGCAAAAAAGGTTTGGTCCGGCTCTTCTAGTGCAACACACAAGACAGACGGCAAGAAGACTGGCTGTTGAAAGCGCGCCGCGAACAGTCTCAAGTCTCAAGAACAGAAAGCGCAGAAAGGGTAGAAGAAGGTCAAGGTGAGAACTCTCGCGACAAGACAAGGCAACAGAGAACCACCAAGAACCTGGAAAAGAGAGATTGAACAAAGAAGACAAGCGTACCTTTTATGTGGGTCCCTTTTTGATGCACTTTTTTCAAGCTCAAATGTCTCAAGGGCTCAGGTGGGGCTCAGCCTTATGTTTTTTTTGCAATACTCTGAGGTCATGCCAGTGGATTTCACGGAAGATCTCCTTGCCCAGCTTTTCAAAACAGTCGCCGGACAGAAGGAGAGAGAAACACGAAACTGACAAACCGAATGTTGAATTTGTTTGTCGAAACTCACATCTGTAGCCGAAGATAAGAGGCGTCGAGCGAGAGAGAGAGAGAGAGAGACATGGAGCCTCAAATCGCCGGCAAAGCGCATAAGGTGGCCGATGGAGGAAGGCTTTCAGAGGATGTTTTTTGCAGGATCATGCGGTCCTATGGAAAGGTCGGCGATGGTGGGAGCGTGGGTAAACAACTCCATATCCGTCTCCATACAACTTATATTCAGAATAGTTGAATTCTGTTCGATTTGTATCTATTATGGGAGCGACCTGACACGCCGACGAACGAATACTTTACTATGACAAAGCGGCCAGTCCCACTGCACCTGTTGTAGGTGGTAAAGGAGGGTGTCATGACAAAGGATTTGAAGGTGACTGGAGAGAATGCGGTGAGAAAGCTATGCGTCGATGAGGCCAGGGTCTGGATTTGGCGCGTGGCTGAAGAAAATCACATTTGCTTGCCTTCTTTGGCCTTTTTCTATTTTTTGGTCACTTTTCTTCAGGTGCTCGAAGTTCTTGAGGGGCCAGTAGAAGAAGAGGAGTTGAAGGTCCGGAATCAATTCTTCAATTCTCAAAATATGTTTATTGTGCTCACAGTCCGAGGTGCCACGCGTCAAAGCTCGTTGCATTTCCGATGACTCAGAAGGCTGGCTGACAATCCGAGGCGGCTGCGGTTGCAGTTTTGGGTGGTTTTTCCTGCAGTTGCCGAAGCTAGTGGGTTGGAGGCCATCATCACTCATCACTATTAATTAGGTTGGAGGCCATCGGTACTAGGTTGGAGGCCATTGCATCTGCGAGGCAATGATGGAACCACTTTCCTTCAGGACGCCTTGGCATCTCATGTGGCTGCTCGCTGTTGCTGAAGATTCTGTGTTTAACATTTTGTCATTTCTGGCTTGTCGGGTCACCTGTTTGGCCTCCAACCCGGCAGGATTGGCACGCGCTGTTCCGGATCCTGCGGGATGTGCCTCTCACAGCCAATTTCGAGCGCCCTGCAGATCCTTCGAGCCGTGTTTTGGACATCGAGGGGGAGGAAACAAAAATGGAAAACTCTGAACTCCCAGAAGGCCTTGACAAAGTTCCACGACAAGTGGGCTTGGTGGAGCCAGAAGTTGAACTTCCAGCCAAAGCTGCTGAATCCGCTGCGGAAGCCGCTGCAAGCATCATAGATGTGAATGTCCAAACTGGTGAGGTGAGCCAAGTGAGCCAAGTGCCACTTGAGGAGAAGGTAATGGACGAAGATGGCGACGACATCTTTGATCCTGAAAGTCCCTTTGAGCCAGGAGCCCCTAGTAGTAACAAGTGCATCGCTAGTAGTAACAAGTGCCTTACTTATTCCTAGTAGTACGGCCAGGAGCCCCTAGTAGCGTCCTTGCTCCTAGTAGCGATGCCAGGGGTCCCTAGTAGCTTCTTGTTCCTAGTAGTGCGGCCAGGAGACTTCGACTTCGAAGTCGAAGAGACAAACATTGGCTACCAGCTTCTGCAGCACGTAGATTCTCCAGAGCATGAAGACCCAGACGAGGCCAAGTGACAGCAAGAGGTCCTCAAAACGTCATTTCTTGTGAACAAATGCAAATAGTGTTTCATTCTTTGTGAACCATGCATATATTAGGTTGGAGGCCGTCGCTATTGGGTTAAAGAGTTAAAACACACACACACACACATATATATATATATATAAATAAGATACTTTTTTTGTTTCTCTCATTTCGTTTGCCACTTTCCTTCTTTTAGACCGTTGACGCAACTGCCAGGGTTTCCGGCGCTTGAGAGCTGGAGAAGTGGTGGAAGTGCTCGAGTGGCCAAACAATCATTTGGAGCGGGGAGGCTTAGAGAGATGAAAAGGCAAGGCTTTGATAAGTGCGACATCTAGTTACGTATCATCAAAATCTTGAGATGGTAAGTTTTTCAAAAAATGTTGGTCTGCTCAACGTTCTTAAGGTTTGACTTTCTACGCACTTTCACATTTCAAAAAAGGCAGAATTCTGGACTTGTGTGAGCGGCCCAGGTCTGGTTTGACACGGATGAAGGTCCTAGCTCTGGCTGATGATGCCATGGGATGGATAACTCAAACCAATGCCGACGGAGTTCTTTTCGCGGAACCACATTCGTGAAAAAAGCACTTTGAGCTCAGCGGATGTTGTGCCAGACCGAATAGACCAAATAATCAACCGGCTTGTCACGTGTGACCGTAGCCTTGCATTGCTCAAGGATAGAATAAAGGTGAAAAACATGGCCCCATGGCACAGCTACACTAAGAAGTCATCACGTTTCTTCTGTGGCCAAACTGTCTTAGGTTGGAGGCCATCGCTAGTAGTTTGGTATGCGAACGGGCGGAACCATTTCCCGCGAATGAGGCACAACTGAGCACCAAAGTGTGGACTGGAAGACGTGCTGCACTCCCTCAGCCGAATTGGAAACTAGAGGGGCTGAATAAATTGCGTACATAGTTTGCATACAGATTGCATGCAGGACATCCACAGTTCTGAAACCTAGGGTTGTTCCGAAGAACACACGTGCCCGTGCAAATTGCTTCTTTCCTTGCGTCGCTTGTTTTTTGGTTCTGAAGCGTCGAGGTTGCACATCGTTCGTGCACGGAAGCGACATGATGAAACAGTGAAACACCACAAAGAATGCATTCATGGCCATGCTTTTCACAATGCACCACAAAGTGCACACTGAGAGACAAGCACTTCTGGAGAACAAACAAGACATGGTTTCAACCTTCAAGACAGAGAATGCACCGTGATTGTCGGTTGAACGGGCTGGAGGGTCATCAGTTCTCATGGTTTCACAGGCCACATGGTGCTATTATGTGTGGGTGCTCGAATCCCAATTGGTGATATTGGCTTTGGGCACTGCCTGGCATAAGCCTTGGGCCACACATGCCGGGTGTGCTGAGATGATCCGGCGATTTGACTGGACCTACAACACCTCCGAGATCCTCTATCGAAGGTTCCATGCCTGCCTTGCACGTCGGAAGGATCTCCCAGACTGGACAGGGTCAAATCGACCTCCCTTGATTTCTGGCGAGCACTACCCTGTTTCGGTGGTGCCATCGGCGCTAGCACCACCTCTATACTGGATAACTCCTGTTTACGACTATGTGGTATCTAATTTCATTCGAAGAGAGGGCACCTATGAGCCGATGGAATTGGAAGTCTTCCGAAATCTCGTAAAGGAAGGAGATGTGATTTGTGATTTAGGATCACATGTGGGGAGCTATTCGATTCCTTTAGCTTTTCATGTCGGCCCTTCTGGTCGTGTCTATGCGTTCGAACCCTTTCGAATCGTTTTCCAATTGCTCACCGGCAATGCCGCCATCAACGGCCTTGCCAACTTCTACACCCACAATGTGGCATTGGGAGACAAATCCGAAGTGTTACGCGTGCAGAGCCCGGCCCTACGACGATCGAGCAACATAGGTGCTACTGCAGTGTTTCTGCAAGCAAAGGAGGTCTACGGTGAGAATCACGTTCTG